GGGAAGGCCACACAGCCTCTGGACCCAATCCTAAGGGATGATCAGTGCTTCCATGCGCCAGGCATAAATTCAGGTCTTTCCAGGGTGAGTTCCATCCTCGCAACCATCCCCAGAGGCAGATCCCATCTTCCCCCTTTCAGGGGTGGAAGCACGAAGCACGGAGGTATAAAGGCAGGTCAGCCAGCGTGAGGTCTGGAGGCCTCAGGGCGAGCAGGTTTTCCACAGGACGCCTCGAGGACCCGGATGGAGACGCTCTCTTGGGTCCCCTTGAGATCTCGCTAGGGTGGCTGCCCTCAGGGCGGCCGCCCTGCTCGCTCCAGGATGCACTCTGATCTTGCTTTTTCCTCACTCTTCACTTCTACTTTTTTTTTATCGGTACCGGGGATCGAACTCACGACTGCCTGCTTACAAGGCAGGTGCTTATGACGCTGAGCTAAATCCCCACCTCCGCCCCCCACTTCAACTTTTTAACATAAACTTTGCTGTTGCTTTTTTTTTTTTTTGCTGGTTTCGTTCAATTTTTTGAGAGAAGAACCTGGAATCTAGAACCTAGTAACATTAACAGGTGAGCCACTTCTACCAGGGAGGAGGAGCGTCCTGGTAACATTGTGGCAGAACCAGGCGATTCGGACATTGTGGCTTTCCCTTATATTTTCAGGGAGTCCTGGTGTTGTACTTGTGCTGTCATTGTTAGAAATTGACATTTCACAAAGTGAAGAATCTTGCCAAAGCAAGTGAGGGCTGGAGTTAAAAAAAAAAAAAAAAGTAGGGATAGGGCTGGGCGTGCGGTACACACCTGTAATCCCAGCACTGGGGAGGCTGAGGCAGGAAGATCACTGCAAGTCTGAGTCTAGCTTGGGCTACATAATGGGTCTCAAATTCCAGACCAGCCTGAGCCACATAGCGAAACCCCATCCCAATAAAACCAAAACAACAACAACAAATCCAGGGTGTCGTTCTCTGAATCCGTTGCTTGCTATCCAGTTAAATAACAGAGAGATGAAGGCTAAAAATCAGTGAAACCAACGTGTTGCAGGTATATAAAACAACTTCTTGACGAGCCGCAGGGAGGGTTTCCCCACGAAGCCTCCGCCCTGGAAACTGGAATCCAGAGACGTCTTCTGTCCCAAGACGGCCTTGTCACTCTTTCTCACTCCAGCCACAGGAAAGCCACCCATGTACACCTGTGCCACCTCAGCCTGCCACTTACGGAACTCTCCACAACCCCTTGAGATGGGCAGCCCGAGGGGCGGGGGCTGCCCAAGGCCTCTGCCCAGACCACCCGAGCTCCTGCTCCCGCACTCCTGTCTACCTGCAGGGCGGCCCTGGGTTTCCCTGGCTCCTGGCGCAGGGCTTTCCTCCGGAAGAGGCACTCACCACTCACCGGGGTTCTGCAGGCCATTGAAAGCCAGTGAAGTGGAGAGAAGAGAGCGTCAGGCGTGCAGGTTCTGGCTCTGAATGACGGCCAGGACGCCCTGTCTGGGTCCTGCCAACCCCTGCCATGTAAACATGCCAACCTGGCCGGGTTTCCAGCCCCGTTCTCACCTGCGCTCCTGCTGCGTTACTGGCTCCCTGGTCCTGCCCAGCCCCCAGCGCGGGGTCCTGGGGCACAGGGCCCTTCCCACAAGTCTCTCCTCGCTTCCAGCCAGCTAGTTTTAGTTGTCGCAGAGCCTCGGGAGAAAGGGTAAGGGCACCCACTTCTGGCAGGCCCAGCCTTCCCCAGGCCCTGCACCTGTTCCAGCTCCGCAGCCCAGGGTCGCCTGTCCCCTGCCATCCTTTCCATATTGTATGGGATCATTCCTGCTCACTCTGGTCTCCTCCTCCGCAGACCTCCAGGCTCATCCTGGAGCCTCTCTGAGCTTTCTGACAAGCCGGGGTGGCCCAGCAGCTGTAGGAGCCTCTCTGGAGCCACGGCACCTGGCTGTCCCACTGGTGAGTCGGGTGCCCTCGGGAAACTTTGCTACTCTGTGCCTCAGTTTACTCATCTGTAAAATGGTGATGAACACAGTATCTATACTTCAGGTGGTCACTGTGAAAATCAGATAAACAAATGGACGCAAAGGACTAAGAATATGGTAGCTCTTCATGGTTGGGTGAGCCGGGTGTGGAGATGCACACCTGCAATCCCAGTACTTAGGGGAGGAGAGGCTGAGGCAGAGACCCTATCTCAGACAACAAAAACAAAAACATTTGTTATTAACATCACCATGTCCTTCCGCATGCTGTAGGTCCCTGACCACCACATGGCATCTGTCACCAGTGTGCTGCACTGGACACTGCTCTGGACCTGAGTCCAAGAGGACCTGCATCTTCTCATTGCCAGTCCACACGGCTGACGTCCCCATTACTCAAGACTTTTCCTTGGCAGGAAAAAACCAGATGCATAATGTGTACACACACGCATGTGTATGTGTGTGCAGAACACTGCTCTCCAGCCTCCGTCTCTCGGTCCTACAGGAAGGGACCAGGTGTCAGGGTAGAGAACTTGGGCCCCGAGCCTGCGGCTCTCAGATGTATTGGCTCATGAAGCTGGAGATGAGCCACCCTCACTCCTGCCCAGGGGGCGGTGAGAGCACAGCTAACAGTGCTGAAGAGTTGAGGACCCCTCGATGAGAGAACATCCAGTAGCTCTGCATCAGTCCGCCGGTCATAACCCCCACTAGGCAGCCCCATGGAGAACACCACGCTCACTTCTGTGACTGCTGACGGCGGATCACGGACAGAGGGCCTCAGTCACCTCCCGAAGCTGGGCCTGAACCAGCCCTAGGACTTCTTGGCTGGTAGCTGATACCCTAGGTCTTGGCTTGAACAGGAAGTGACTTACATCTTGTTTGGATGTGTCAAGACCAATTTTCCCACTAAAAATAGATAAAAAAAACCTTGTAGTTTTCCTAAAAAACTTTTTTTCCCAAAGTATTTCTTTTCAGTTTTGTTTTCTTGAGACAGGGTCTCACTTTGTAGTGCAGGCTGGCCTTGAACTGTGCAGCCCAGGATGGCCTTGAACACACTGCAATCCTCCTGCCTCAGCCTCCAGAGGGCTGAGATTACAGGCGTGTACCTCCAGGCCCAGTTTCCTCCAAATATTTCTGGATTGTTTTGTCTACAGATTCACATGCTCACCCAACCTTTAATAATCCCCAAAACTCCCCAAGGCACTGCCCTTGGTAGGGTTCAAGGTTAACCACAGAGGGAATTTCCCTTTCCTTAGAGGTAAACATACACAAGGTCAGGTGTGCATATTCAGCCACCAGCCTTTTTAAGAAGATGAAAAACCTCCCATCTCACTACCGCAAAGAAAAACCACCTGATGACGCCTTTTCCCTCTTTTTTTTTTTTTTTTTTTTTTGAGCCAAGGGTCTCACTAAGGTGCTCAGGCTCCCATCCTGAACTCCTCCGTCCAAGAGATCTTCCTGCTTCAGCCTCCTGAGGCTCTGAAACTACCAGTACTGACATCACACCTGTCTTACACTTACGATCCGAGCTGGAGAGCAGCGTGTGCTCCACATGGGAGTTACTGTACTAACCTCTTCAGGTGAACCAATCTCAGCTCAGTCCACAGGCAAAGCCAGGACATTATCACCACCACCATCCTGAAATGAAGACTTCTCTTTCCAGCCTCCTCAGCACACACAGAGCTACCTGATTAAATTCAGGGAAATCACCAATTATCAGGACGTGGTCTTAAACACGAAGGCAGCAGGTCTTCCTCCAGACCTCCTCCCAAGTGCTGTGAACTTAAGACACACGTCTTACAAGACAGGAAACTCCAGCTTGTAAACAGGACCAGATGTGACCCAACGCTGGACTCTCACACAGAACCCAAGAGCTGCGCTAACTGTCGAGTCTTCCTCCAGGGAAGGGAACAATCCGCTTCCAGTTAGTTTAAGCTATTTTTATGTTGGGTCTGCTCTCATCTGTGGTCCTAAGTAAAACCCTTCCCTGACATCACAGGAAACACAAAGAGCAGAAAACGAAGGGGAGCCGTTCAGAACCTCCCCACTGAGGCAGTCCAGCTCTCAGGCTCCGCTTCTCCCCACAGGCTTTCCCCGAGAGCCCATTTATCCCCAGAGCAGGACAGCAGCAGCGTTGACAAAACCGGATCCCCCAGTCCATGCCTGTTTCCTCTCTCCATGAGCAACGCCACTGCCTGCCCTCTGCATGAAGGAGACCTGCAGGGCACCCTCGACCTCTCCCCCTCCTCATAACCCTCCTGTGAACCTGTCCCCACACTAAAACATCCTCCTAAGGAGGCCTTCCAACTTACCGCCTGTGTTTCCTCAATGCCAACCACACGACAAGCTACAGGGACACATTTTCATATCTTACCTATCTCCCCAGCTTTTTAAAATAAGGTACAAGGCTGAGGCAGGAAGATGCTTTCGAGTTCGAGATCAGTCTGGGTTACAAAGTGCGCTCAAGACCAGCCTGAACTGCATAGCAAGACCCTGTCTCAAAAAGACAGAAACAAAATAAAAAACAAGGTGCACTTGCTTTACAAAAATTAGTTTAAACACTTCGCTTTTCTTCATGAAGCACTACAGCATAGCAAATGTAGTCCAGCTCCTGACACGGCCCGTGCATCACTGCTCGTGGCTGTAGGAAGTCACCTGAGTTACCAGCTGTCCTCGCACACTGACCATGGGTCAGGGACAGCGCCGGGCGTTCCCTCCCAGGGCGCCTCGGTGCTGAGAACCGCAAGGGGTCGGAAGCTCACGCAAAGCAGACCTCGTTGCTTATGCAGGTCTGAGTATGTGCTCTTGTTTACCCACTGAAAGGATAATAAATCCAAAGTGACTAGCATGTCGCCCATCGTGGCACATGGTCCTTCAATACTAACCTCAGTGGGCTTACAAACTGAAATTGAACTTCCTGCTTTTCACGCGCATGCACCAGCATTCCCCCAACCAGCTTTCAAAACGTCACTCTGCCCGCCCCCTCAAGCTCCACCCTCTAGCAAACCGAATAAAAGCCCGCTGCTTCTGCTTGCCTCAAAGGGATCTTGCACTCCTCTACATTCCTCCTGTGCCTGCAGTAAAGTTTGTTTTTCCTTTTTTTTTTTTTTTGCTCTTACTTTTCTACCGCACGAGGAAAAACCTATCACAGATTTATCCTGCCACCACAAGGCCTGCCAGGGGCTCTTCTGTCCGCAGCTCAGGTGGCTGCAGAGAAGCACAATGCATGAACCCCTCCCTTCACGGTGACCAGAGTGGGAATATGGGCCCACAGAGACGGCAGCACAGACGCAAACCGTTGGGGCCGCGGTGGTGACTCCGGGGCCCGCGTGTGGTAAGTACTGAGCAGCACCGAGCCTGGCCGGGGCTGTGGGCTTGGGCAAGGCTGCCCTTGCACAGGGAGGAATCAGGAGCACACACAGGTTGGAGAAGGCCTGTCCCTTCCCCAAAAGAACCTGGTTTGCAGCTGTGTCACCTGCTCTGGGGACAGTCTGGGGGGCAAAAGACCAAGACTCCCCACTGGATCAGACCACTGGGGTCACCCACAGCCTCGCATTTCTTCTGTGTTCCCAGCTGTCCCATGGCGTCTCGGGCTCAAAACTCCGGACCCTCAGGGATCCCGGGGCGGCAGTCCAGCACTGGACCTTCCTCGAGCCGCTCTGCTGCACAAGCCGCGGGCTGCGGAAGGACTTCACGAAAGGTCTGGACCATCCACCTTCACGGAGACACACACGGTGCTGCCGCCTTGCTCTCGGAACAAGGACACGATAACCTTGTTGACAGCTGAGGGAGACGTACAGCTATGTCCAGAAATGCCTCGTGGGGACCCCTCTTTAAACGGCTCCCCAAGTTACTTGGCAGTCAGCCTGTGGCTCCAGAGCTGAGGCGGTGATGACGGGAATTACTGCTACTGAGCTGGCCAAGGGGAGCCCCTCACTGACACGCGCCCAACAGAGCTGCGTCTTACTCCAAAGAGCAACCCCTGGCCCTTGCTGCAGCCGTTACCAAGTCTTTAAGGAGTCTGCCCATGCCGGCCTGGATCTGGACCCACTGGCCCACCCCACCGCTGAAGAACTTCTGATCACAAATGCAATGGGAAGCTCAAAAATGACTTCTCTGACGGAACCACGGGATGGATGTAAGAAGAGGAGAGCAGACGGACACAGGGAGGACGGGTCTGATTCCCGGGGAACACACAGAGTGCGTCTGATTCCTGGACGCACTCTGCGTGCAAAAAGCCTTAAAGCGTGAAACTGTGGAACCCGGCAGAGCCAGGCCGGGCGCCTGCGAGCGCCGAGCTTCAGCAGCGGGACGAGAACATCCCCCACCAGAGGTGAGGACAGGCGGGGGACTGTCAAGCGCTCCGCAGAGGAACCCGGAGACATAACGTTCAGCACGGAGCCAGGGAGACCCACCTGCCAGCCACCTGCCAGCCACCTGCCAGCCACCTGCACTTAGGGACGCCGCTCGCGCTTGCTGCGCTTTGGGAATGTGCGCAACACTGAAGACGCTGCTCAACTATTCGGTGCTGATGTTTATCATTTTGTAGTTTGAAGAGGTTTTTTTTGTTTTGTTATTTTTTGTGAGGAGAGGTCTTTTTGAGACCGTTTTGCTATGCTGTTACGTTATTCTAAACATTCAATTCTTATAAAGCTTCAAAATGTTTTTTTCTAACGTAAGTATACTCTAAAAAGGATTGTTTATGGAGAGGTGGAAACAAGTCATGCTTTCTTATAAAATATAAGTTTTCAATAAACTCCTGGAAATGAAACATGGGAAAATATTGACGCTTACACTCCTGAATTGGCATCAACTCCAGACTGATGCTGATCATATTTCAGAGCCCTGCTGGAAGCTTTTATGGGCAACATGCAGCAACAGAGGTGCCTCCTGGTCTGCAGTGCTTATCTTCTCTGTGCATCAGAAGAGGCAATTAACCCTCATTTCATATGGTTGAAAATTTAGGGCAACATCATCTAGCCAATGAGGGGCTATGGCTACGCAGGAGGAATCAGTCTGGCTCCCTCCTTTAAATCTTTAACTCAAACTGCCCAATGTACACTCAGATGTAGAGAGCTTACCCCAAAGCTAATTGTCACGTGATTAAATACCTGATCTACAGGTATGCATAGAACTTGCACCAGCATATTTCTGTCATGGTAGTAAACTGTCCTATAAACGTATTCATTTTTGTTCTTCATAATTATCACTGTGTCAGAGTCAGGTGTTCATTTTTGAACAAGTATTTACCTGGGCATTTTGCAGTTCACAGGAGAATAACCACAGGATAGAAAGATTACGTCCATATCAAGATAAATTAGGCGGCACAATGACTTTTCATTTATATTTGTGGTACTGGTAAGTGGGTGATATTTTTTTTTTAAGTCCTGCATAAGTGTTGAGCAAGGAACTGTATCAGGAGTTGTGGAACTACAGACATTAGTTTTCATAGTAAATGTTTTACTGTTTGGATCTACACATTTGGTTTTTGCACAAGTCATGCCTTTAAAAAATCTAAATATTTGCCAGACATTAAAAGATAGATGTTCTACAGGTAAAGAATACAAGTTTTAGTCAAAGTGTCTACCACAGCCTATTTTTATTTTTAAATACAGACACTTAAAGTTGTGTGCTATATGCAAAACAAAAAGTCCTTTTCACTGGTGCCTATGCTGTAATAAGTATTTTTATTGGTTCAGCTAAAATTTTCACCTGCAATATAACTGAAATTCAATTACAGTTTACCATCTGTAGCAACCTATAAATAATTTAGCAACTCATATCATGGAACAAATGAATACTTTTTTTTGAGACAAGTTATCTCCAGGCTGGCTCTGAACTGACTGTGTAGCCTAGGCTGGTCTCGAATTCATGGAACATGTCCTCTCTTAGCCTCTTGAGTGCTGGGATGTGCCATCATGCCAGGCAAAATGAATATTTTTTTTTTAAATTAAAGCAAGTTTATAAACTGGTTGGTTGAAACAGATGTGAATTGTATTGCTTATTCATTATAGTTATTAGTCCAGGAAACTGTTTCTCAGTGACCTATACACCAGTGTTTGGGGGACTTTTAAAAACATTTTTTAGGTTCTTTTTCTTGAGAAAGGGTCTTGCTGTGTAGCTCCGGCTGGCCTGGAACTCACTATTAGCCTAAGATCATCTCAAACTCATGGCAGCCCTGCCTCAGCCTCTCAATGCTGGGATTACAGGCGTGCACCACCATGCCTATTTTAAAAATAAAACTTTAAAATTTAAAAATAGTAAAAAGCTTAATGTTAAGTCTGTATTTTTCATCTGTAAACTGAGAAACAGGCATTAATCAAACACTACATTATGTGTGCCTGTTTTCCACTTGCTAGTTAGGAGAAATCCTTGTATGAATTGTGTGCGATTTTTACTGAATGGCTGATCAGGCTTGCCACCCTCCTTGCATGTATGCAAAACTGGACTGCGCTGACCAGCAGTAGACATGCATGGGAGTTTAAATGGACACCACGTAATCCCAGGCATCTCCTTCTGGTCCCTGCACAGCCGAGCACAGCTGTGCACAGCACAATCAGGGCCTGGGGAGTTCAGAGTTATTTCTCTGGACCGCACTAATGCTGCTCAGGAAGCAGAAGCAGCCCAGGGTGCTTGTGTGTGTTTCAGGTTCTGGCTCTGTCGCTGCTGGCTGTGTGACCTTGAGCAGTGACACCCCTATGCTACCCCTGTGAATTGGGACAACAGGAGCACCTGTCTGCCTCTCAGACCGACTTGATTACATTAGGGCTTGCTGTGCAGTGGGCAGTGCCCAGGCACTGCTGTGGTCAGTGTCTGGCTTCCTCGTGTCATTTCCACCAGGAACATGGACAGACAGCCTGCATGAATACCACACAGAGAATGCAGTTTAGATCGTGGTTTCAACATACGGGAAGATGCTACACCTCATTAATAATCAGAGAATCACAGACTTGTTTTCTAATCTTTCAAACTGGCAAACAGCTTTGAAAACCTGTTAATGCCAGGCATGGTGGTACACACCTACAGCACCAGCACTGGTAGGCAGAGTCAGGAGGATCACAGGAGGTTCGAGGCCACCTTGGGATACCCAGTGAGTTCAAGGGCAGCCTGGATACCCAACAAGACCCTATGTCAGCCCCGCCCACCAAACCATCACTGTTTCTTACTGCTCACTAGGCACGGGAACTCACTGAGCCTGACGCAGGCGTGACCTCTGAGCACGCACCCATCGAAAGGCCTTAGAGCTAGGGGCAGCGCGCATGCCTGGCTGCAGGACTGAGTTCAAGCCCAGCCTGAACCCCTGTCTAGAAAATGAAGCAAAAAAGAAAAAGGAAAACAAACTCTAGAACCTTAGAAATAGTCATACTCTGGCCTGAAATTCATCCCAGTAATCTGTCACAAGAAAATAATTCCTAGTATAGTGACGATTTTATGTACAAAGAAAATTAGATCTAATCTGTTATCTTATCACAGCAACAAAATTGTCGGCAGACTATCTGTTCAACTTTAGTAAAATGGCTAAGTAAACATACGGACTGTTTCATACCCAGCAGGAAAACTGCGAAGAGCTTACGACAAGAAAAATATTTACAAAACAACAAAACAGAACACAGGCCACATGTAAGATCCACAAAAATGACAGCAGTGTTTGCCTCTAAACGTGACTGCTTGTGATTTTGGATTTTATTGTACTGTACTATCTAAATTCTTGAAGAAAAGAACACTTTTACAGAAAAAACCTGTAACACTTAAAGACCAAGGCTGATTCAAAGCCAGCAGCCTCATGGACGCCCTTCCCGAGACACGAGGCCTACCTTTCTCACCCTGGCCTCTCCGGTCCTCTCTGCCAGCGCTCCTGACCAGAGCCACTCTACACGGATAGGCCCGGTGTTTCCAGCTGTGAACTCCTCCCCTCGCCTCTGTCCCCGTGGGCAACACCTAGCCAAGACCCTGTCACAGCTCCTGCATGACCTACGGCCTTGCTGCAGCCCAGGCTGTTCTGAAATGACGGAGGGGCAGCTACGAGCTGCAAGCAGAACGACCTTAAAGGGCAAAGCTATGCTCGGCGACTTACCCGCCTGTGCCTGCCTGCCTGCTTGCCTGTTTTCTTTCTTTCTTTCTTTCTTTTCTTTCTTTCTCTCTCTCTCTCTCTCTCTCTCTCCCTTTCTCCCTTCCTTCCTTCCTTCCTCTCTCTCTCTCTCTCTCTCTCTCTCTCTCTCTCTCTCTTTCTTTCTTTTTCTTTCTGAGGCAGGGTCTCGCTATGCAGTTCAGGCTGGCCTTGAGCTCACTTTGTAGCCCAGGCTGGTCTCGAACTTGCAGTGATCCTCCTGCCTCAGCCTCCCAAGTGTTGGGATTACAGGAGTGCACCACCACGCCCAGCATACCCATCTTTTCTCTTCCTTTTCAATTTTTATTATTTTTTAAGACAGGGTCTCACTATTTAGTTCAGGCTGGCCTTAAAACTCACTGTGTAGCCCAGGCTGTTCTTGAACTCCCACAATCCTCTTGCCTCGGCCTCCCAAGTGCTGAGATGACAGCTGTGTCCCACCACGCCTGGTTTTTACCACTCATCTGGTCAGTGCTCGGCACATGACTAGAGAGGGTCAAACACCTCTGGCGAAGGGTGCAGGACCTCATCAGTGAGCCTGGAGCTGCCTGAGGGCTGTGTGTGAGGCGCTCTCACAGGTTTAAGGAAAGCAAGCCCTGAAGAGGTGGCCGGGAAGCAGACAGGCCTGGGCTCATCACCAGCCCCGAGCCGGGTACTCAGCGCTGAGTGTCTACCTCCTCTCTGTGAGACAGAACTCAGAGTACGACCACACGAGGCTGGGGGGACACGGAGGGCGTGTGCCACAACACAAACAGCAGTTCCTCTCCCACACACTGAAGGCACAAGAGCAGCAGGGACACGGGTGATGCCCACCACCCGAGCTGGTGACATGTGGTATCGAAGGGGTGGTGGTGCACGCCTGCCATCCCAGTACTCAGGAGGCTGAGGCAGGAGGCTCCTTTCAAGTTCCAGACCTGCCTGGGCTGCACAGTGAGCTCAAGGCCAGCCTGAACCCCCTGGCTCCACAACGGCAGCTGCTACCAGACAGACTGAAGAAGTCCAGGCCTGCGGGCGTCTGCTGTTAGATCCAAGATGGGGAAGGGAAGGCGGCTAAGACACTGCGTAGTGTGACATGCTGCGTGGTCTCTGCCCACCGCACCAGGCCCAGGAATGCCCACCACGGCTCTGACACTGGGCATGGCACGTAAGGCTCCAAGGACAGCGCCCACTGGGACTGTGAGACTGGGAGCCAGCGACGGCTCTGAGGCCCGGCCCTGGTGTCCACAGCTTACCCATGTCTGGCTTCCGCATCTCGGTGAGGTGAGCTCAGCGCTGCAGCCCTCGGGTCTCAACTCACAGGGGGGTGTGGGGCCTGGCACAGGGTCATCACTGCCCACACACACAGAGATGATCTGAGTTTACACAGACCAGAGGAAAATGCAGCCCCTGGAGGAGGCGAGGCAGAAGAGTCCTCATGGCACCACGGTCCCACATCTCCTGATTTCCTCCAAGACAAGACCCCGCAAGCACAGAGCTCACGGCGCAGCACGGGCACCAGCCCAGTCGGGCAGCGCTCTGCCCTGGGTGCCCCAGACCTCAATGCCATAGAACCAAACAGGAGGCCCGGGGCAAGAAAAAGACACCAGCAATCGACCCCCAGGACAGCAGCAACCACGTCCACCACCGACTGCACCTTCCCAGGCCTGGTGCGGGGCACAGCACACAGCAGGCACCTCACAGCCTGCGACCCTCGCCTGCCTGCAGGACGCTGCCCACCAGTCCACCTTCCAGCCTTCCACGTCTGTCCCCTGTGGCTCAGGCCCTGGAGGGTGAAGTAATGAGGCGGACAGGAGATGGGGCTGCACGGTTCTCCCAGAGCCTCGGAGAAGGGGAACCAGCACCCAGAGCCACATCAGCAGCCCTATTACTAGGAGAACAGTTTCCCCGGAGGACTCTAGGGGGTCACAGGCCCCCAGGTGTCCACAGACGGCGCCTGGAGAATGGCTGCCTTCCTCGGCTCTTCCTTCAAACTGCCCACATCCAGACCGGGAAAGCCACCGAGGCGGAAGATGACATCTTAGCAGCCCTGGACCCATGACAGGCGCTGGCCCTGGTCAGACCCATGCTAACTCACTGCGCTAGCCGCAGGTCCTAGGCAGGACCTGGCAAGGGTGAGTGGGAGGTGCTGGCCACTTCCATGTGAGACAGGGTGGACTTCCGGGCTGGCTGTGCTGCGGGTGCTGATGCCACTTTTCGGGACCTGTGTTCCACCCTTTGGCAACCCTGCCGATGTTTTTCCCCCCAAATGCACTGTGCCACCATCCTGCCCACCCTCTGCCAGTACCACCTGTCCCCGCCCGCCTCCAAGGGCACACTGGCTGGCTTTATCTCCTGTGAATTTAACCAGCTCGCTGGGTTCCCCCAACTCAAACCAAGCTGTGCCTGAATTACAGGTCCACTACTCAACTTACCTGAGACTCCATCTCCTCACTTGAGAAGCCCGATTAAAACCCTCCTTGGAGAGTTCTTATTATGGCTTGTGACTCCGTCCTAGACCCAGAACAATCTACGAAACTGTCAGTGCTCGGTCTGCAGACTCCGGTTCCTGAGAAACAGCTCTACCTCCCTGGTCCTGTGAACCTCAACTGCTGTGCATCTCTGCTCGCTCCTGGTAACCGTCTCTGTTGTTTGATGTCCTTGGTGACGGGCAGAGACTAAGTCCCCTGGGCGCCACCTGGCATCAAGGACACCTCTGCTTCCTGGTCTGGAGGGGGCTGTTTTCCCGAGAGGAAATGGGGCCGTTTGCCTGTGAGTCCCTGGGGTGCTCTGAACCGCAGGCCGGAACACAGGCGCCCTCTCCTAGGAGGCAGCCTTCCATCTCCCCACCAGCCTTCCCTGCCAGGGCCTGCTCACAGACCCCCGCTTTACTGGTCACAGCATGTGCCTGCCACAACGTCCGGATGCATCTCGGTGGGCTTAGTTCAAACACGCTTCGGACTTATAGAACAGGAAACAGGTCTGTGAAAGCAGCAATGCTACCAGGAAACGCTCCACCTGTGACTAGGCTCCTGAGTCCCAGAAACGTCAAGGTACACCGAGACGACCACGTAGTGAAGGCCAGAGAGGAGTCTGGGGTACCCTGTGCGCACAAACACAGGAGGAAGGGACAGTGGGAGCCCACTGGGCAGTGCAGTCTCAGGAAGGAAAATAAAAGCCAGACAGGAAGAAGAAGTGGACCCACGGTTGGCAGCTATAATGGGTTGAACCTGCTTGATCCAGTTCGAGCAAAAAATAAGGGACATGCACAGCCCACAGAAACTTCCTCACCTGGCAGAGGCTGGGAAACTACAGGCTGCCGCGCAGGAGAGCCCCATCCGGCTTCTCTGTCCTCTCCTCCCCACCAGCCTCCTCCTCCAAAAACTTCTCAGCTCATTTTAATGCGACCCACAAGATTCTCCTGCTGTCAGTACCACCTTTAAAAGGGCGTCTGAAGTCTGCTGATCCTATTCTACTGTGCGTGAGTCACCTGTGCAGCTTTGGAAACTACATTTTACACGTTTGGTGACTCAGTCTACCCCACTATAAATGGGCCCAACAATAACCACTAGAATACTTAATGTTCCTCAGACACCACATGATAGCCCTTGGGGAAAAGATCCTCGCAGTATACAATACTGAGTTTTTTGCCAAATAAACTTCAACCAACACAGCAGTTTAAAAAGTCACATGCTCACTGAGCATGGTGGCACATGTCTGTAATCCCAGCACTCAGAAGGCTGAGGCAGGAGGATCGTTGTGAGTTTGAGACCAGCCTGAGCTACAAAGGGAGCTCAAGGCCAGCCTGAACTGCACAGCGAGACCCTGTCTCAAAAAAAGAAAAAAAAAAGTTACTTTTGCTAAACCTATATTACAAAATAACCCTCAAATGACTGACAAAGGAGACCGTCACATACATGACATTAAAGTAGATGGCACAAATAGCTCATCAGTAATATTTTGGGAAATTTTAGAACCACATTCTATGTTCTTGTTTGTTGGGCAAGACTTGTAAAAGGGGCTGGGGAGCCTGAAGCTCACGGGGATTATCGGTCAGGAAAGCGGGGTGTCCCGGACCACCGGAGCAGCAGCACAGGTCTCCTTGCAGGGAAGTGGGCTGGCAGCCCCCCGAACCACGGACAGCGCTGGGCCCCGCGCAAAGCCGGGTGCCCTCACGCTCCCTGGCAACACACATGTAAAAAGGTAAAAGTCCTTCTGCAGAGCAGTGCGGTGAGGAAAGAGGGACTTCAGACAGGGAGCACCAAGGCTCTGGAAACAACCCTCCGGACAAGAATCCACCATGTTCAGCGCTCACTTTCCAAGACTAAAAAGAGGTTTATGTCACGTAAGACAAAACTCCTGTATGTCTTCCTTAGCTATGCATTTTTATAAGTGAAATATGGCTTGTTACAATAAAACACATTTTCCAGTCCTAAAAGCATACTCCAAAAAGTCATCATCAGAATTTAAAATGTAGCCAGCCATGCTGACACAGAAGGAGGCAGAGGCAGGAGATGGCGGGGCTACAGAGTGAGTCCAAGGTCAGCCTGAGCTCCAAAAGACAACAAAATGTTTTACATTAAAATGAAGAAAACATGTTCTCCAGATTCCAGAGAACACGCAGCCCCCACTTCCAGGAACTTCACTCTCTAGGTTATCTCAGGTCTAGTGGACTTCAGCATAATGCAGCAGTACAGGAGTAATTAAGGCTCCGCATGGAATCGCAGCAGGCCACTTGCCAGCAGCTCTCGCTGATAAAGCCTCGCTGTGAAGCAAGCACGCTATGGAGAGACACCGCGGGTCTGCATCTCAAGGGGGGGGGCTGGAATGGGTCAGCATCCAGTTCCAGCTGGACACCTCCGCCTGGCCCTGAGCAGCGAGGAGACGGAGGTCCCGTTTCCTGAACAGGTAGGGAGGGTGAACTGTGCCCTGCAAAACGCCCTCTTCACTGGAGGGAGCATTCAAAACACATGGAAAAAGTGTTACACAACACACGGAAACGGACTGCACACACCTCACTGTAGGTGCTTCCCGGCTTGAATTAATGCAAATCACATTACTCACCCCAGAGGGAGGGAAACATTAATTAGGCCAAGTAGAAATACAAAAACGAAGTTTCTCCTTCCTGATTTACTCAAATCACAATTGTTAAACAACTTGCTAAAAATCAAAGAAGGAAATAACCTGAGGAAATTATATGTATTTTTTTTTAAGATGGGGGTCTTGCTATGTTACCCACGCTGACTTGGAATACCTGGGCTCAAGTGATCCTCCTGCCTCAGCCTCCCAAACGTCTATGACTACAAGAATGTACCGTCAAACAAACAAACAAAAAAAGAATGGACCAACATGCCCAGCTAAGATAATTTTTAAAAGAACTAGTACCCTCTAGTGAAATTCACCCTTTTTACCAGGAGAGTCACTTAAGTATCCTTCGTGGCCAAAGACATTGACAACTCATGTTCACAAGAGCTGATACCAATATGAAAACAGCCTGCACATTCAGGGTGTTTGTCCAGGTAAACCTGAGGCTGTCTGCCCCGAAGCCAGGCACAGCAGGAGTGATTCAGGTAATGACAGCACAGGAAGCTAGTAGGATACCTACACATGTAAACAGGAACACAAGTTCTACAGGGAAAGCTCTCTCTCCATGTCGGGGCAGATTTGAAAGCTAAGAAGCGGAGAATTAGTGGGAGAATTTAGCAATCAATGAATTAGAGTAAGACCCAAATTAGAATTAGAATTAGGATAAGGACAGGCTGGGAATCTAAAGACCGAACCCTGGGGCAATCCTGACCCCAAGCCCTGCTCTTCCTTGGGGAATTTTGTGGCAAGTGCAAGGTTGTGTCAGTACCAAAAAAAAAAAACCTGGAATTTCGAAATTCTTTAAAAATGTTCAAAAGTCTAAGTAGAGCAAGCAAAGCCTGCGCGGCACACAGCAGCGCCCAAGGGCGGCGCTGACCAGCGGCAGAAGCAACCGTAGCAGTAGTCTGTTCTGAACAAACATTTACACGGCACTGATGAGCGGCAGGACTGTTCTACGGCTTTTACGAATATTAGCTAATTTAAGGTTCGCCACAGGCTCACGCCACACATACCATTACACACGTTTGGAGATGAGACACAACAGGTAAACAACTCAACCATGGTCACCTGGCCACCAAGTCACAGGGCCAAGGGCCAAACCCTGACTTCAGAGGCCCGACTCTTAACCATAACTTAGCAAAAGGAAATATTAGAAAGCCACATAATATAAATATAAATATAAAGCCAAACAACCAAAAACAAAACAAAAAACCCCATAATGCACTAGTCCAAACCCCTCCATGTTAAATAGACAAATATGGAAGGAAAAGGCCCCAAAGCAGACGAGAGCCCCAGAACTACCCAATTCACACCCAGAGGCCAGGGTCACGAAGCAGATTTGAACACACAGCCTTCTCCTAGGGTGAAGCCCACTGCACTTTGGTGCCTTTTGGTGGCGGGGGTGGGGGGTGGGTTTCCTGGGAATTGAACTCATGCCTCGAGCTACATCCCAGCACCTGAAGCCGATGCTCTGCCTCCGGAGTCTGACGAGGGATGGGACTTGTGTCTTCCGTCTCTTTGCAATCCTACAGCCACCCCATGTGCCACATACAAGGCATCGTGTCACACAGACAGGGGAGCCCAAGGGACAAGGTGGCCTATGTCCAGAGGAGAGGAAAAACACTGCAGTCTTCCTACTCCAGCTCTCCAGCTGTGCTCACTGCTTGGCCTGTCTCTCCCTCTCTCTCTCTATCTCTCTAATAGGGTCCTGCTACATACTCAGGTTGGCTTTAAGCTCGCTATAGAACCCCAGTTGACCTTGAGCTCTCGGTGATCCTCCTGCCTCAGCCTCCAGAGCCCTGGGATTACAGGTGTGCACACCACACCTGGGCTGCCCATCTTCTTTTCCCTTATTTGGAAAAAGAGAACACACACATTGCACACACACATGCATGGCCTGGGCCTATGTAAGGCTTCCAGGGGTTGGAATTCACCCTCCCAGAAATCTGGAAAATAAGGGAGAAAGAAACAGAAAATGAAACCCAACAAATGACCCGGTGACAAACATGGCGATGGCCGTTTGGCCTGAGAGCCAGCGTGTCTAGGCACGAAGCTGTCCTGTGTGCCGTCGCCTTTCTCTTGGCTCTTTGAGTCTGAGTCTCACAATGCAGTTCAGGCTGGTCTTGAGCTCCCCGCGAAGCTCCCTCCTGTAGCCGACCCACATCAGCCAGGCCTGGCCCACCTCTGTCCTGCAATGAAGCCAGGGGGCTGGGCCCAACCGGCCCGGTTGTGATCACTGACAGTTTCTCTCAGAGTTTGAGTAAAGAACCAAGAAGGAAACAAAGTTTTTTCTCTGTGAAGTCATTTTCCCCATAATGAACCAAAGCACTGACAGACACGCATCACAATCTAGGTACCCCTCAAGCAAGGGCCCAGGAATTCCCTACAGATGGGCACAAAAAAACACCCTCATGGCCTTCCCTGACCTGGAGGATCAGATGGGCCTGCAAACACTCCACATTCTGCAAAAACTCAGCCAAAGAGTATGAAAGCACACCGTATTCTCAGTCACCTGGAGCAAGTCACACCCCGGCCACCATTTCCAGGGTGTGATCAACCCTTTCACCTGGGCTCAGGAGCCTGTCCAGTTCTCCTCAGCCTCAAGGGAAAGCTCACCCCAGGACAGCACTGCTTGGGATCCCTGGACGATGACCACGGCGACGGTCTCCACGGCTGGCTACTGAGGGCGCCCACGTCTACCCGGAGGATCCTCGTGGGATGTCTGATGTGGTTCAGGCAGGGCGATGATCCTTAGCTAAAGCGATGGGAGCAAAGTGACAATTACCATGAAGGAAGTCACGATGATGCACGGCTGATTACTAGGCTCGCTCTAAAAGCCACTCGGCAAGGAGTCAGGAGTCCCAGGAAGGCCTCGAACACACATCACAAACATCCTCTACCGCCTGGCGAGACCTCGGGCTGCTCACTCAGTATCCCCAGCTCAGAGGGGTCCCTTCTTCTCCGGGCTCCTTACCACCAGAACTAGGCATGGGGCGGATGTTCACAGGCACCCCTCATTACAGGCATGGTTACTGTAACCCACAGTTCACAAACAAGGAAACCGACTCCCAGGGAGGAAGCAGCTTCTCCGAGGCTGCCAGCCTACTGGAAGCGCCGGGCCTTCTCCTGGGCTGCGTATCCTAGTCATGCCCTAGGCTTCAAATCTCGGTTATCATTTTCTCTAACCCATGCTTTTTTAAAAAAAGTTTTGATATAATACATATACCAAAGGTGCACCAATTTCAAGTGGACAATTTCATAGTAAAATTTTTAGTACGTTCAGAGTCATGTGACTACTGTGACAATGTCAGAACACTCTATCACACCAAAAGAAACCCCGTACCCCGGGGAAGTCACTTCCTTTCTCACCAGTAAAGTCACTCCCCAGCTTCCAGACACCCCTCATCTACCGTGTGGAATTACAGACGTGCAGTCTTTTGTGGCCGGCTCCTTTCATGTCTCCACGGCTCATGCACGCTGTGGCTTGTATCAGGGCTCCACTCGCTGCCAATAACACCCCACCGTGTGTGTACACTGCTCCACGTCTGTTTACCTTTCCTCAGCGACTGGACGCCAGGGCTGCCTCCAGGTCTGGCCGCTGTGAGTAGAGCTGCTATTAAACATCCATGCGCGAGGGTTTGTCTGAACCTGTCTTCAAGGCTCTTGTGTAGACACCGGGGAGTAGAATGGTGGCTGGTGGCACGCTCTGGCTCCGGTAAACTTGCTGAGGAGCTGACAGCTGTTTTGCCCCTGTCTGTCCGCGTCCTGCGATGCTTCAGAGCTGATCGCTTTCATTCCTGTCGTCCTCGCAGGGTTTAAGTGGTGTCTCACTGGGGCTGTGATCCGCATTTCCCTGATAGCTGACACTGCGCAAGGCTTCCCGCATAACTATGCAACCCCTCCCTTGGACGGATCTCCTCCACGTCGACTCCCATGTTATAACGCAGCGTTTCCATTCTGGAGTTGTAAGAGCTCTGGGTACCCTCTTCTCATCAGATTCATAATCTGCAAATAGCTTTTCCCATTCTGTAGCTTTTTCCACTTTCCTTTGAAGCACACAAAGTTTGAAAAAATCGACTTCATTTGTTGTTTTCTTTTATTTGTGCTTTTGGTATCATATTTAAGAAATTCCTGGGCACTAAAATTACCAAGTTTACAAAGACTGGCCAGCTGGTGGCTCACGCCTGGAATCTCAGCACTTGGGAGCCTTGGCAGGAGAATTGCTGAGAGCTTGAGGTCAGCCTCAGCCAAACAGTGAGTTCAGGGTTGGCATAAACTGCATAGCAAGACTCTGTCTCAGAAAACAAAACAAGCCATGGATATAGCTCAGCGGCACAGTGCCTGCCTGGCAAACGTGAGGTCATGTGTTCAATTTCTGGTACAAAAAAACCAAAATAAAACAAACAACAACCAAAGATTTACTCCTATGTTTTCTTCTATGAATTTCACGGCTTAATTCCCATATTAAGGTCCTATTTTGAGTTAGTATTTTATTTGATGTGAGAAAGGGATTCAGTTTCATATTTTCAATATCAATTACCAGGTACCTCTATACCATTTGTTGAAAAGACTGCTCTTTCTCTGTTAATTCATTTTGCTACCCTTGTTGAAAATCAATTGACCATAAATCCAAAGGTAGAGAGCCTATACTTTTAAAAGCAAATGTACATTGTCACTCTGCCTTGACTGATACTTAAAACGAAGTGTTGACAAAATCATGTAAATCCTTAAAAAGTTATAATTATTACCTCTGGTAGCTGGATTTTCCTGTGTTTCTTTTATAGTGTGTATTTTAAACTGTGAATGTGTATTATTTTTAGGAAAGTAGTTTTTAAAGGCTAGTTAATTTAAAGTAACTTTAAAACTCTGTTGCACAACGTGAAGACAGGATCAGAAGCTAGGACAGCCAGTGTTTTTATGAACCAGAAACTCAGAAGCTACAAATGCTTTCAGGGGCTGGGGTACAGCTCAGCGGAAGGACATTTGCGTATCATGAGCAAGTCCCTGCATCCCAGTCCCTGCACTGAAAAAAAATACATAATTAACTTGATGCCAAGCTGAACAGCAATACAGAAAGTCTCTTCACCTTGAGATACAGGTGCCACACTTCTGTCCCCTCAAAGTCCTACATTGAAATTTCCGCTCCCAAGGTGATAGTCTTGAGAGGGAGGGGCTCGGGGAGGTGATCTGGGGCCGTCACAAAAGGAATGAGTGCAGGTATAAAAGAAACCGAGAGCCCTGGTCTCCACCATGCAAGAAGACACCGTCTCTGAACCCAGAAGTGGGCTTCACCTGCCATGTGGTCTCCTGAGACCCGGATCGTGGACTTCCTGTCTCCAAACTATGGGTAACTTCACCTGTTTTTAAGCTACCAGTCTATGGCAGTTTGTTACAGCAGTCTGAATGGCTGAACAATGAGAACTGAGTTCTTCTTAAAGGGAACCTGAACGCTGCACTCTTTAATTAATTATAGGGCCCCAAAAGAAGTGATGGGGTTTTCTACCTGTGGCAGAATATATCAGGCCAGACCACATCACCTGCTCTCCATAAACCAGCAGGGTAAGATACGCCCATCCTCACCTGGAGCCCTCAGAACGGCTGTGGGTTCCTCACTCTCACAAATGATCTTCCTTCCGAATCAGAACCGCAGGCATGGGCCCTGGACCAGTGTTATGTGTATACGTTCATGCATGTGTGTGAACACACAGGTTGCTGCGTTGTTGTGGGAGACAGGGCTGTCACCATGTGGTCCAGGCTGGCCTCAGACTTGCAGCCCTAAATGTGTATGTTTTAAATGTTCCCTGATAACCCCGATAATGTACCCTCTTAATTAAGACCTTTTAAACTAAAGCAACGTGACACAACTTCCGCCCCACCAAATACACTTCAAAAATGTCTGAACTCTGTGCGTTTTTTCTTTCATTATTTTTATGTAGAAGGCAACACAGAAACACGGGTGCCTGGGGCAGCCTCTCATGGAAAGAGCCACGGAACGCCAGCAGGGGAGACTTCTAGTCACCAGGCCAGCTGCTCACTGCGCTGATGAAGAAACCACAGTCAAGACAGGTGATTAACCGTGCTGGGGCCCAGGCTGTCACACAAGCTCCTCATTCCAGTTCGCCTGCCGGATTCCTTCAGCTCTGGGAGCCGACTGACTCTAACCGGAGGTGACAGTATCTTTACAACTCCCACACTCGGGGCGTCACCCAGCTAGTAAGCTCAAGTATTTGTCGACCTGCAGGACCTGGTTCCGAGGGCCTCTGGGAAACAGGTGCATCTTCTGTGACTAGGAAAAGCTACGCTCTTACTGGGGAGACATCGTCAAAGATAAACAGTTGCATAAATGAGACTGCCCAAAATCATCAGAATTTTCCCTTAAATTCTGTTCCTTATAATAAAAATAAAGTTTGGTTATAAGTCTATCATTTGTTTTTAAATTTTTGTCAATTTTGAAATACAATTTAAAGCAGTGTTCAGCCAGGCGTGGTGACGCACACCTGTAATCCCAACACTCAGGAGGCTGAGGCAAGGGGATCACCGTGAGTCTGAGGCCAGCCTGGACTATGTAAGCAAGTTCAAAGCCTGCCTGGACTACATAGCGAGACTCTGCCTCAAAGATAATAATAAAAAAAAATCAGTTTCAAAGAAACATATGTGGTAGGTATTGTGAGATTACGACAATAGCAGGTGGTTTAAAAAAACGCACATAAAATTGCAATTATGATTTCTTCTATCTTGCCCCTAATTTTTGGGTTAAGATAAACTTCTAGTATTTGGATCCATGAAGCACTGTTGTCCATTTATAAACACTCAACCTAAAAGATTTACATGTTCCATGTATGTATTTGGAAATTGATAATGATATTAGATATCCCACATATAGATATACATGAAATAAATTATGATAAAAAGACATTACAAACCAATAAAATGAAAATGTGTTTTTAAATAGTATATTATATAACCATACTGACAACTTGATTAATTTGGAATAAAGTCGTTTTCCTTACTCTCTCTATAAGCATATACAAAACCTTTTCCAGATCTCTAGTAAAGAAGCATATTATATAAAACTATTTCTAATAAGTTTTCAGAGGAAGTAACTTCCTACATTCAAAGGTAAATACAAAAAATGCAACAGATTATACTACAAGAACAAATAATTTAAGGCAAAAGAATGGCATAGGGAGCCTGCGGAGTTAGCTCAGCGGCGTAAACCCCTGCCTGGCAAGTGCAAGGCCTTGAGTTCAATCCCCAGTGCCAAAAAAAAAGAATGGCACAGGCAAAACTTTTACAGAAAACAACACTAAGACAGCAAACTCAACCACACTGGTTAACAAAAAAAAAAAAGACCACAAATAATAAAGCGAATAGAAACAAGAGCCCACTAGAAAGCAAACAGCATCCTTGAATACAAGATCTATCCATTTTATCCATTTTTATTTCATAAACAGAAATGCAGATCAAAGTGCAAATGGAAGATTAAACACGTGCGCCCACAGGGTGTAACAGGAGCGAATACCATTTCCCGCAGAACCATTTCGCAGCTTGGGTCAAAAGTCAGTACACGGCCGCGCCTCGGAACTCCTTCCTCGGAACCTGCCCCAGGTCTCTGTGGGCCAGGAGCACGGCGACACCCGCCCGGCCGCCCTTCTCCCTGCAGGCTGACCCGGCTGACTCGGGGACCTTCTGGCCCTGCCTCCTGGACTCCCTCAGCCCTTGCTGCCCCACCTCTGGATGCCTTCTTTCAACCCA